CTGTCAAGAAACTCAACAAGTTTGAAGATTAAACAACATTTTGTTCTGTGGAAGGCGTGTTTCAGTCACGTCATTGGTCCCAGTAGAGTACAGCAGTTCCAAGAAGGATAACTATAGTCGGAATCCGAGTGAATGGGAAGAATACCTCTCTTTGGAGCAGATGGTCGACTGACAGAGGAGTCATTCGGAGATGTTGAAGTGGAATACAGTACCATAAATTGGACCTGAGAATAGTGTATGTACAGAATGAAGAATTACGTCATGCGACAAATACTGTGACGTCATGGTGGAAGCCTGAGGCTGAGGAAGAGAGGGCAGAGTGGTGGAGTTACAAGGGTTTGACAACAATTTATTGATGGACTGATGTTGTTTCTCATTAATATAAGAGTAACTGTTTATTGATTGAACATTTTTGTGTCCGGAAATTTGCATGATTTGATGTACTGGTACACCATTGTCTGAGAGGGTCTGGATGAGACGTTTTCGGGCCATAAACGGGGTTAGCCTAATGGCTGCCATGTAATTGTTTGTTTACAAACAATGCAAACGATTGTTGTTGTTTTTTAAGGTTATTTTAAAAAGACTACTATTTATAACGTAATTTTATTGCAAAATAATAATGTCTAATAAAAGGAGTATTCATATTCTTTAACCTTTATGTTTTCTTTTTTTAATCTCGGAATGTGTGAGTACAGCACGTTCTAATTATCAATGAAACGGTTAAAGTTGTCAGTGAACTTTCATCATGAAAAGTAGTTCCGTCAACCAATCATAGTTCTTCTCTGCTCAGCTGACAAATCAACGTTGAGAATCACTGAAAAGCACATGTGCGATTATTACAAAAATAATCACCTGTGTATCCCGTATGGGTAATAATTATAGTTATTCATCTGATGGCTGATTTACCTAATGTCATCATGTATGTGAAACAGATGTCTTTCAATAATACTACTAATGTTCACAGATAATAGCCACCGTCTATTAAGTAGGAATAAATCCACATTGTATTGACGTCAAGTCAGGTTGATGGATACTTTGACGCTGAAATAAACCTACTTATTTATCTTTGATGTACCTTGCAGTGAGCTTTACATGAAACAAATGATGTTGAAACTACGTTTTCTGTTCTATTTATGTATTCTTATTAAAAACAATATTACAATTTACGTAAATAAAAGATATTAGAACGTCAAAGAGTCAGCAATTCTATTAGGACCAATTCTTGTATCCTCGGTAAATATAGGAATCGGAATTCATGTGCAAACATATTCCGTATATATTCATATTTTATATACATTATATAGCCCGCCAGCAAGCGTTCATGTAGAGTCTTTTCGCTTATGGTGGCTACTTCAAGCAACAAAGAAACCAAGTGATATATATGTTTTTTTTCGGAATCGTCTCCATTTTTTCCAAAATAATTTTATAGTACAATGGATGTTTTCAAATGCGAGACGAACGTCATCAGAATGTGTTCGATGCAGTTCCATAATTTGGCTTGTACCATATGTTCGATTTTTCAGTTTAACAAATGATTGGCCTATATTATAATTAGAGGCCTATTAGAGCACTCTGTACAGCCAGAGTGAAGAGTCTGGTGAGTGAGTCTGGACTTTTAAAAAACATTGGAGATCACTCAACCCTACAGTGATAGGGTCATCACGATAGGCCAACATAAAATTGGCATTTTATGAGCGCATCCTTTGCTGCCACTTGCAATTAGCAGAAATAGTGTTACACTAATGTACTGCTGCTATACAGAGCATGTCGCTTTATAAGTGCAATAATCTTGCAAATACACAATAACGTGTATATATAGAACATCAGTGCAAAATAATCGGCAGTCTTAACTAGTGTCAGAAACAAATTCCGTTGGGTGTATAGGGAAACATAGCTGTGAAAAATAAGTATTGCAACTATAAGTCACTTCCAAAGAGTGCACTTAAAGCGCATCTATCCTGGCGTATGCGACACTGATAGTGAAGTCATGACTCTCTGGTATATGTAACACCTCCTTAGAAATGTTCTAATCATAGACATTTGAGCATCTGATTCATCATTTGTGGACAGCACCAATGACAAGTTTGATAAAGAGGGAATATGAACTGCTGTGATTGCCCTGAATCTTGAATATGACGTTATCGTTAGTGTAGTAAGATATTCGCCAACAATCCTATATTTCAATTAGTTATACTCCCCTAGGCGTATCCCACGTACCCCACGTATCTGTCCCATAGGCAATGTTAGTACAGGCAGCAGACATGACATTAGGCTGCAGCAGTAAGCCAACACTGACACTTCCTGTTTTGAAGTGTATGGCAATTGGGGGATATGATTTTTGTTTGTTCAAGATACAGTCCAATCAATTCCAACCGTATCATGAATCATAGTTTCGAATGTGAGAAAGATAAGCTATTGATTGCTATTTTAAGGTCGAGGCACGGTGACCAAGCCTGACCAATCGATTCAATTCAGTAGCCTGACGAGTGAGTGAATTGTGTTTTATGCCGCTTTCATCAATAGTCTAGCAATATCAGGGGGACACCTGAAATCTGCTTTACACATAGTTCCGTTGTGGGGAATCAAACCCAGGGCCTTCGGCGTAACAGGTGAACGCTTTAACCACTACGCTACAAACCCCCACCCCTCATACGGACCGAATGCTGGGGACATGTTCTAATAAATATGACATTTCCATATTTACAAGAAATCACAGCAGATTCGATTCCGGCTATATCATGAGCATGTCTGCACGAATCAGAACCAAACAGTGGTGTTACCAGGCATTCACGAAAACAATTGCCTCTCCTGCTCAACTCCTCATAAGTTATGCTAGTATCCTACCAAGATAGCACTAAGGTGCTATTACGAGCGGAAGCTAGTAGAAGTACGTCTAAACGTCTTGTACATGAGACATTTATACATGTAACTTCAACTCCCATTCAATACAGCGTGTACTGTCTGGGATTTGACATTCGAGATGACCTTGTGGTAAACCGTGATTATCCTGAAGCAACTGATCATGTTCCGAAATAACTGTACCTAATGTGGTGCTGAGGAGTCAAAGAGTCTCCAATGTAGGTAGATTAATTATCTCTTAGACGTTCAGTCATACGATACGGTGATACACTTGATAGAATGTATCAAGAAATACTCTAAGTACAGTCATTTATTAATAAAAATAGAAATGAAACAGTTATTTGGTCAGCTTTAGGTTCTTTTAATAGGAGACAAACAACAAATTTAGGGCCTGTATAAGATACATGAATGCTCACGTGTCTTTCACAACGACTGTGACGGTTACTCCTACAGGGTCAAAGAATCTAATCCCATATTTTCCCATATGATGACTAAAGGAGTGTGGTGAACTGTATAAGGCTATGTTTTTATAACTTATAGTATCTAAGGGGAATCTAAATTTGTACTTTTGTCACAAACAGAATAAAAGTGACGAATTCTAAATTCATACTGCAAGCTAATGACAGTTAATGTGTCCGGCCATTCAGATGGCCAATGCCGTTATTCTCGATATACATCATCAAGGCAAAGCAGCAGAAATGAGCAACTAGGTCCAACATCACAGAAATACAATGATTAACATAAAGACTTCTGATAATGTACACATACTTAACATAGTATCGTGGTGTATCATTGATGCTTTAAAGTAGTTTGAAAACTGAAAATAATATTTGAATATTTAATTATGTATAACTGCTAAAAATGGAGGAAACAGATAAGTTATCACAATCGCTCGTAGCATTAAAGATCGGGCCGGGGTTATCTCTTAATAATGCAATGTAATAGCTTTTGCCTTCAACAAACCGTTGCTTAACTGATGAAGGAGTAAGCATACACTCCGAAACGTCGTGTTATTCACAATAAAGAAGTTGACATCCATAAATCTTGTTTTTCTTATGCGTTCCACTTCTAAATGCCCTTCAAAGATTTAAACCCATGCTTGTCGTACAGGGCGATTGACGGGATGGGGTGGCCTGGCAAGACCATTTATGTCATAATATCCCAATTAAGAAGCAACTACTGACTGACTGACTGAGTTTAGTTTTACGCCGCTTTTAGCAATATTCCAGCAATATCACGGCGGGGAACACCAGAAATGGGCTTAACACATTGTGCCCATGTGGGGAATCGAACCCGGGTCTTCGGCGTGACGAGCCAACGCTTTAACCACTAGGCTACCCCACCGCCCCAAGAAGCAACTAACGGGATCGGGTGGTCAGGCTTGCTGACTTAGTTTAAACATGTCATCGTTTCCTAATTACTCAGATCGATGCTCATGATCTTGATCTCGTCACGCCGAAGATCCGGGTTCGATTCCCTACATGGGTACAATGTGTGAAGCCCATTTCTGGTGTCCCCCGCCGTGATACTGCTGGAATATTGCTAAAAAGCGGCGTAAAACCATACTCACTCACTCCCTTAAGCTTTTGATCACTGGATTACCTGGTCCAGACTCGATTATTACACACCGCCGCCATATACAACAATAGTGCTGAGTGCGACGTTAAACAACAAACCAACCAAACCAAACCCTGTAGACTAGTTGAAGCTGCGACACAAATGAGTCTCCCTTTCCACTGTTGGCCAACTGACATACAAAGTCTGCTCAAGGTTTTGTCCGGTCCACGCACATCTGCTCCTTCTTCATTTTTACAAAAAATACCAACGGCAGTAATTGCTGCATGTCAAATCCACCAGCAGATATTGATTGCGGCTTCAAGTTTTGTGGCAGGTGAAGATGCCATGCACAGCCAAGAGTCTTCTGTAGGAGGAAGTGCTTCCCATTATGACAACTCCCAGTATGACTACTCTACTCATGAACATATACTGGAGCACCCCTACACTTGATAACGTACTGTACCTGTATAGCTGATTACTCCCAGTTTGTCTACTCTTTGAAATAAACCTATAAGGGAGACTCCCAGGGCCTACATATGATGATTAGAAGCCAAGTGAATCGGGGATCTTGTGAACATTCATAGAGATAACTCCTCTACTCGGATTAAGACTTTGTAAACTTATATATACAGGTTGTTTGTTTTGAAAATTGGACATAATCCATTCAATTCAACTTCCATTCAAACTATTAACTGTAGAACGCAAAGATATTCTCAGTCATTTTTACAGGCCATTAAAACGTTATTCACTACATTTTTACATGTCGGAACTATCAACATTTAAGAACAACTGTGTATTTTTATATTCAAGGATACGATGTTAAATGTACTGGATCGGCGTTTATATAAGCCTCTAGGCTTGTTCGCCTATCCAGGCTTCTGCTTTGACGGAATAAAGATATGTTTAAGCCATATTATAGTACCAGAGTTTCATTGTCAACGGCGGACCCATGACAGTGTTTACAAAGTCCGTGTTGCTTATGCTCCTCATAGTTCAAAATATTATACAGCACAATAACTTCTTAATTCACTTACTATGTAGTGTATATCGTATATTGTGTAAGTCAGTATATGTGTACACTTGAACTCTTCCACAACAATGACCTATGTAATTAGCTGAATAAATATTTATGAACCTAGTACAGCTATAACTATAAGTGTTGGTGGAACAGTCTACCTAATGGAGGGGAGAGAACTAGTAATTTAAAACCACTCGACTGGAACAGGTTGTGTATTGGACGGGTAGTCAAACTGGGAGTAGTAATAATGGGAATGAACCGCAAGGACCAGCGGCGAAGTGATCTAAAACATAAATTGAACTACGTAACTATGCGTAACACACTGGTGCACTTATTCGCCATTATCTCTTAAAGGGATGAAACAAAATGTACTCACTCGGCCTCTCCTGTTTAGTATATTTTGATTTCGTCTGACTTGAATTAATTATTTCTGGCCACCACCTTGTCACACACCAAGCAAATAAACCGCTATATGAATCATTATGGGTCATATGGTGAATGTGGGAGATTTCCATTGTATATATCATCTTACTGTCGTTGTTTAAAATATTGGTGTAAAATAATTAATATGCCTGAACATCGTTTACCTAAAAAGCCTTCAATATATATGCTTGCACATCTTGGACATCACACATTCGCACCTTACTATTTAGATAAGGTTTGGGTTTTATTTGGTAATAACAGACAGTTGGCAATGTAAATATGTTTATTAGGCAGTGTCGTATGCGGCCTATTGATATGTTTAAGCAGGAATGGCATTCAACTATTCATTTAGCTAACGTACGCTACAGAAATGTTCGCAATCCTTTTTTATGTTTTAGGTTAGGCCTTAATGATTTAGTAGTTAACCGTGGAAGATATTTTCTTTGGAAAACACCCCAAAGTTATGCCCATTTTGTAACATTATTGAAAATTAATTCCATTTTATGCTTATTTGTCCTGTATATGAAAATCTAAGAAATAACTATCTTCCACAATTGCCTTTATTTCACATTATTGTTAAATTTTTGTCCCCCTTACTTTCATTGAAAGAACCTTCAAAACAACACAAAGTAGCCTTATTCATTTACAATGCATTTTTGTTGAGAAAAGAATTGGTCGGTTAGGAGTTGATTATATGTGCCATTGTTATTATGTATCTCTTTTGTATATGGGCCTATGACCTTTCATGCAATAAAGAATGGATTTCCAATATTCATCAACCCTCGGTGTCAAGATATCATAACTGTTCAGGTACAATCGAGAATGCTCTTTCTTCAATCTTGAAGAGGGTGGTGCAACTCGTTGCAAATTTGTGTACAACATTCAAGGTATCAGTAAAACTTTCAAACGGTTTGATGATAGACATGTGGATGACGTTTCAGGATGTGACACCCCTGTGAGAACAATGAAGTCAGTTCACTTCTATGTGTTTACTTGTTGAAACCTAACCTTGTCAATCTTGCTAAAGGAAGTGAAAAAGGGTTTTATGTCAGTTTTGATAGTCATTTCACTTTTAGGTGCAGCCACAGTGCATACACATAAATGCGATGTACGAAAACGTTACACGCACATTTAATGGAAACATTTTTTCCAGATTATTAGAGGGCACTAACAGTTGAAGCCATTGTATGAACAAGTACGTATACATTGTGTATGAGATATAGTACAAAGACCAAACACATAACATAACTGGTTGCGTTATTCATCAGACTTTCACCGCCATTTCAAAAGTAGTTGGTGCATCATGGGAAACGTGTACACATGTTGTACAGAGGATAATTGGATTTACGTAATAATTATTTCATTTTAGCGAAAGGAAGTCTCAGACAGGCAGATGTATGGCGCTACCGTTGTGAATACTTTCTGTCAGTAAGGGTACTTAACGGAAATTAAAACTTCCAGAACAGCTGTGTAATTGTTACCTATTCGCAATTGTGTACATTTGTATTTAGCAAACCTCGCTATTAGTATCTTCTGGTATCTGTATGAAACACGTAAATAATATATCTCTCAACATAGTTGGAAAGGTCGCGCAGTGTAAAACCACAAGGTAGAATTGTTTAGAAATACGACCTTCAAAGTAAACGATTCGCTCATTTGATGCAACTGATTCATTTCGCCTGATGTCATTGGGACAATTATTTATTTATTTTTAATCATTTATGGAGAAACTATTGACACATGTCTGGCGAGGCATTGTGAATTGTGCTTTACAAGGGAAACCAAATACAGGACGTATAACAGCAGCATTAGTGTTTAAGAACACACAAGTGAGTGCACATGCGCACTAATGACCCACTTAAGACAGGCAGCAGCCACATACTGCTGTGCGGGTGAACACAAATTCTGTGAGTTGCGAGTGTTTCTGGTAGTATAGGACATGTTTATCATTTTCGCGAAGTGACAGGTTTTCCGAGATCCATTAATATACTTTTCACCGCTGTGTTCCTTTTATGCTCAATGGAATCTGTTTCGATTGATAATCCAGACTTTTATTCTCTGGTCTTGACGTTTAGTATATACAGGTATTGTATGTTGAGAGAAAACTAGTTGTTTACATGATGGAAACGTCGAGAGATGAACGTGGTAATGGATGACCCACCAACAGCCAGACTTGTCAGGGGATTTATACATTTCACTAATAAGTTAAGTTTTCTGCCACCGTCTAGACAACCTCGACATATATCCGCGTGTCAAAGAATGTCGACGCAACTGAATATCCTGGCCCATCGGTGGCATCCGTCAGAAGCACATGTGCGGGCCTGTCATTTGTTTACGTGTGGACTGACTGACTGAGTTTGGTTTTACGCCGCTTTTAGCAATATTCCAGCAACATCACGGCGGGTTTACGTGTGGAACATGTGGTAAAAGAATAATGAGACTGATTAAACAACGTTGATAAATTTGAGCTAAAGATATGGCCTGTGGTCCTTACATTCAAATTTAATGGGATTTAGATGATTGCAAGGATGTATACATCTGAGTTAACTTCCGTCTGCATTTAAAGATGTCTTATTTAGAGCAAGGGTTATGTGACGCCTTTGGAAATGCTCACAGAAAGAGCATACTTGGTTGTACACCAAAGGTTGTTTCAATAGTATGCCAAAGTTTCTGTGACATTGGTGTACTTTTGCCGGTATTGGATTTACGACCACACCTGTTGTTCACTTGTTGTTTCTATATTCCATTAAGGGGGTTGTTTTTGCACACATAGGTTCACAAGATTTAATTACCTGTATACAAAAGTCTATTCAAATAAAATACTTTTAGATTACACAGAGAATTATTGAAACCGGTTCATTACGATCGAGAACCCTGTACTGGCAAATGACTGGTGATTATGAAAACACTGAGACGAGTTTACTGGATTGATATAACGGCTCTAGGCGAAGGAGTGAGAAAAGTCTAATTTCCATCTTTTTCTCCCCAAACCTTACATTACTTAATCGTTTTTCTGGGTGTATTCAGATTTTTGTGGCATGTTCATATCATTCAGTTTACATAATACGTTTTTGTATGGCAACATAAACCTTCCAGTCATACTGGATACCCCGTACTTGAGCAATTCATAAAAGCTCGGGTAAATGCTCATATTAAAGTGTGAAATCGATTGTGAGAGCCAGATCCCAGAAGCATTAAATCTCAGTATAAACATTAAACAATACGTTTTTGCACACCACCGCCTTTTGTTTAAACCAAAAAGCACGATACAACACAAGTAGCAAGTGAACACATAAGTGAACCTTATGTTGATTATGGGGACTGGAAACCAACGGAAGAATTGCATAATGGAAACATAGGGCAAGCATTGCCTACTGGAACCGGAGGACGATCCTGGGTAACTGGATCCAGAGGACAAACATTGCCTACTGGAACTGGAGGACGATCAGGGGTTACTGGAACCATTCGACAAGCATTGCCTAGATCTATCTATCCATTTAAGGATTGACTGTGTATTTCTTTCGTTGCATTGAACCAATATGAACTTTAAAACCAATGTGCGCTACGCGGATTCATACAGAATCCGCTACATTGGTTTTAGTTTCATACAGTTCAACACATTGAAAGAAATACACAGTCAATCCTTATATCATTAATTTCAACAACAAATACTATAGGCTTTCAACAATATTTTATTTAAACACAATCAAATTCATCGAAACAGATATCTTTGTTACCACCGATTTACGGATTAACATTTCGGTAATGGCGTGACATGACTCAGGTGACTTATTTACATAAAATGACACGCCTACCAAACCATTAGCCAATCAGCATAGAGCACCCCCAAACAGCTGTCAATCAACCAAGCTAACATCGGGGTTGCGAATCAGAGCGGAACAAGACAACGTGACGCATGCCGGTAACGGCAAAGTTTCAAGTTCAAACATTTGAATTATTACCAGCGAACTGAAAGACACAGTTTGAAAAGTGAGAATTGGAAATGAAGCCCGATGACATGAAGTTAGTGGAACTGAGATTGTTAGTGGCAGCAGTATTTGCGCAAGTGGAAAGGGGCTGTGATGTGACTGGGATTGCGATGCCATGAACTGATGTTCCAACGTGCGCATGCTCTTGTCGAGGCGTTACAATGGCGGAAAGCGTCTCGCTAATTCTTAGTTTTTGAGTAGTCGTTGTGTGGCGACTATAACTACG